AAAAAAAAAAAAAAAAAAAGCCGGGCGCAGTGACTCATGCCTATAATCCCAGCACTTTGAGAGGCCAAGGTGGACGAATCACGAGGTCAGGAGATCAAGACCATCCTGCTAACATGGTGAAACCCCGTTTTTACTACAAATACAAAAAATTAGCCAGATGTGGTAGCACACTCCTGTCGTCTCAGCTACTTGTGAAGCTGAGGCACACAGAGCAAGAATCGCTTGACCCCGGGAGTCAGAGGTTGCGGTGAGCTGAGATCGCGCCTCTGCATTCCAGCCTGGGCGACAGAGCAAGACTCTGTCTCAAAAGAAAAAAAAAAAATTACGCAGTTAAAGGATTTCTTGGACAAAGAAGGAGAGAAACGAACCTTAACAAAAAAAAAAGGAACAAATACAAAACATAAAGCAACATAATAGAAATGAATCCAAAATCAAATGGACTAAGTGATCCAGCAAAATAAAAGTTATCAGACTATATTTTTAAAAAATAATACAGCTTTAGGTTTTTATAAACACCCACAAAAAAAGAAAAAAGAAAACATAAGGATACAGAAAAATTTGAAGTAAAAAGAGGGCAAAAGATATACCAGGCAAATTCTAACCAAGAAAGCTAATTTCACTATATTAATATCATACAAAATAAACTTTAAGGCACAAAGCATTACTAAAGAAGGACTGCTATATAATCATAAAAAGTTTCAGCAGGACACGGTGGCTTACACCTGTAATCCCAGCACTTTGGGAGGCCAAGGCAGGCGAATCACGAGGTCAGGAGTTCGAGACCAGCCTGACCAATATGGTGAAACCCTGTCTCTACTAAAAATACAAAAATTAGCTGGGCGTGGTAGTGCATGCCTGTAATCCTAGCTACTCAGCAGTCTGAGGCAGAAGAATCGCTTGAACCAGGAAGGCAGAGGTTGCCGTGAGCCAAGATCGCACCATTGCACTCCAGCCTGAGTGACAGAGCAAGACTCCATCTCAAAAAAAAAAAAAAAGAAAAAAGTTTCAGTTCACCAGGAAGGTGAAGCAGTTGTAACTGTATATGCACTTAACAACATAGCTTTGAAATAGATAAAAATGGACAAAATTATAAGAAGAATTAGACAAATTCACCATTATATTAATATAGTAATGATAGCTGGCATTTGTGTAGCATTAACAATAAGCCAGACATTATACTGAGCAGTTTCCAGGTCTGTTGTCTATTGAATCTAAGGTGCCATCAATTTTAAGATTCACTGTTAATATTTGAACCACTGGGGAAAAAAGGAAAGTGTCACTTAGCTATGCCTCATTATCAACTGTAAGACACATCTAAATGTCAGAGCT